CTTCCAACCATTGATGCATGGAATATGTGCACCCCTATGAAGTATGGCTTCTTAAATTCACCATGTATGCAGTACTTGAAGGCAGGAAATTGGCTGACCCTTCAGCTTTCAGCCTTTTCTTCTCCAGAGAAAATGGTCCCAATTTCTTCATCACTGTTGATGAGAACTAGGTTCTGGGGGTCCTGCAGTCAGGAACACCTTGTAGTGGCTGGAGGGGCAAATAATATCCCACCCTCCATTTTCCACTCACCATTTCCCAAGGGTCAGTGCTCTGGGTTTTGAGTCCAGAAGGGAGAGAGACCCAACCAATTTGGGGTTGCAACATGGACCAGCTCCTTTTCAGGGGGCCCGTGTCTGCTGTTCTCCAGTTCTTGTCTAGAGAAGTGGCCTACAATATCCTGCAGGTTGCTACTCCAGAGGGAAAAGCACTGTGCACTGCAGGGAGCAGGGCTTTGTGCAGAAATTCATCTGGAGTTGAAATCCTGGCTCTGTGGCATCCTTGGACAAGTTAGCCAGATTTCTCTGAGCCTCTGTTCATTAATTTGTACAGTGTAGATAATCATTTCCCATGGCAGGTACAGAGAGAATTAAGTGAGATCTTGAGTCTGGAGCATGACACTTAGCAGGCACCCAGAATGGCAGCCTCCTCTCCTAAACTGCAGCTTTCGGAGGGTGACTTCAGATTCTGGGATTCTAACAGCACAGTGGCATCCCCACAGGGAAGGTTCAGACTGGGGCTCAAGCAACTCCCTAGTTTTATTTGGTCCAAAGGAAAAAAAAAAAACTAAACCTTACGATTTTCTTGGCAATAAATTCTGGGGGTCCAGCAAACTGAACCTCAGAGCCAGTCTTTATTCAGGGGTTTACTAAAAAGCCATAAACAGAAACGAAGGAGGGTAAAAAACTAAAAGCAGATAGACTGGATTTAGCAAACAGTAAGCAGGATGTGAAGCTGAAAAAGAGGGGGAAAGCAACATGAAAAAGATGTTGGATAGAAGAAGAAAATGGATTTGTGCTACCTAAAAGAGAAGGGAAGTATAGAAAAGAGAAGCTGATTGAAAACCATGGGTAATGATACCCTTCCCCACAGAAGTTAAAAAAATAAATGAGCAGGCACAAGAAAAGGAAGTGGACCAGAGGAAGTGGACCAGAATCGGCAGTGGAGGAGAGTGGGTGATTTTATAAAGCAAGTCGTACAAAATTCATTTCTACTTGGGTGTGAAACATGCTCACTCAGAGCTCCACTTCTAGGTTCAGCTCAAAGTCTTCCAGCTTGATACTATTTAGCAAAGCCTTGACTTAACTGAATAGAGGATGGGAGGCCTGAGAACAGCCTAGAGGAAGTTCGCGTTCTTTCTGGCTACCGCCCTAAGACGTGCAGTGCAGCCTCAGTTGGCAGGGCCTCTGTGAGTGCTACCCCAACCCCCACCACTTTCCCTGCTTGCAGGCTTCCTCTTGTCCCTGAGAAACCCAGCTGAGCAGAGGCTGCCAAGACTTATCTCACTGGACCCTTACACTTGGTTTCTGGTGTCCTCAGGGGCAAAGGAAAGTCATTGTCCAGCCTGGGGTGAAAGCAAATTAGACCCCTGGCAGGCCTTTGACCTACCCTGAGGGCCACCCGCAAGGACTGGCCACACTCCCACCTGCTGCCAGGAACCCCCATCTTCAGACACGTCTCCCAATCCTTGAACATCTCAGAGGATCCAGAAGTAAAAGATCCACTCAACTGAGTCCCACCATTCCTGAAAAGGGATGTTGCTAAACTATCAAGGGCAGTGGAATCAGAGCTCTGATGTAACAGACGCCCTCACATGCTTTGGGGCTCTTGTATAACAAGGCTGGGTTTGAACTGGCTCAAGCACACTGACTGCCACCCATGACCCCACGCAGTCGAGGCAGCAGCTGTTTCTTGATATTTGCGTAGAAGACTGAGCTGAAATTGCTTGTACCAGTATCAGTTTCATGATCAGACATGTTCATTAGCCATACATGAAGGGAATGAGCTGGGATGAGAAGCTGTGCTTTCCAATTGTTTTCTGGCTGTGGAGAGCGGAGGGGAACTGTGCTCGACTTCTGAGCTCTGCATTGTGAGGCTGAGGCATCTCTTTTCTTGCTCCTCTAGACCTTTCATTCACTCATTCATTCATTCAACACACCGGGTACCCACTAAGCTCTCAGAGTTTAAGGGCCCCTGGCTGGTAATCAAAAAGGACATCTGTATGCCCTGTGAACACCCTTGGGAACATGGCAATTAATAGGGTGCTATCATCACTGTGCCCATGGAACTCTTTGGAATGAAGGTCTAGAATACATTTATCCTTGTGCAAATATTCATATGGAATTTGCTCTGGACCAGGTCTCTCCCTCTTCTGAACACTGGCCTACAGAACTGAAGAGTACATGGTTTTTCTCTTAGGAACACATAATCTTGGTGGAGGGGGTCAGGGGAAGGAAAACATAAAATTTTAAAAAGTGCTGAGGCCAGATACATCTGAGTCCAAATTGCAGCCCTGCCACATACAAGCTGTGTGACCTTGAACAAATTGCTCACCTTCTCTGAGTGCATCTAACTTGCCCATAAATTAGAAAGAATCCTTTTATGTGTCACCTACCATTTATTAAACATATACAAAGTGTTTGTTACTGTACTAGGTTACTAATTTCAGTTTTTCATATCACTCATATCATATTTGTTATTTTTATTTTTTAAATTCCAAATAATTAATTGAAATCTTTTCCAAAATAGGTAATATGTGTATATGGGAAAAAATTCCAAAAGTTTACAGTGAAAACCAAGTCTTCTTTCCCCCATCCTCTAGTCTTCAGAACTGCTCTCCAGGGGGTAATCACTGTCACTTGGTGGTCCCTTCAGAGAGCTACTGTTACCTAGTGTGTCCCATCAGAGATATTTAAACCCTATACAAAGTATTCACACATCATTCTTTTCCACAGATGACAGCATTCTATGTACACAATACCACATCTGGCTTTTTTCACTTACCACCGTATCTTAGAGATTGTTCTATATCAGACATATATCTGCCTGAGTTTTTTGTTTGTTTTGGGGGTTTCTTTTGGGGTGGTGTTGTTTTTGGTTTTAGGTTACTAAGCAAGAGCTTGTTATTCCATTTATTCCATTATCTGGATTTATTGTAGTTTATTTGATCTGTCCCTAGTGACGCATTGAGGTTATTTACCTTCATTTATACTTCAAACTTGCTGTAGTGACTGTCAGTGTGGGCACTTCCTTGAGCATGGGAGTATGTGGGCTGAAGTTCTGACCACAGGCACAAAGAAATGCAGAACGATTTTTATTGGCTTTGGCCTCCTCTTGAGGTCAGCTTTGCCAGCTCTTTCCACCAGGGAGGTGGGGGGCAGGAGGGGGAGGTGGCTAGCCCCAGGGTCCCTAATTTATAACCACCAAGGACCTGACTATTTCTGCTCTTATACAGCAGGACGCCTGGGAAGATTATGCTCTGCAACAAGCTACATGTACTAAGTAGCAATTCCTGTTTCCATATATATCAGTTTGTCACATAAAACTGACATTAGTGTAGCTCAAAAATAGCTGCATTCAGCAATTTTATACCGTTTAACTTAAACATTATTATGGTCCCAGCCAGAGGTTCCTCTCTGAGAAAAGGGCATTGCAGCCTGAAGCATCCCCTTCTCTGGGGTTGAGAGCTCCATCACTGGTGCATTGGGCAGAGCCAGGGCATGACGCAGGGTGCAAGCAGAGGCAGAAGGGAGAAGCCACACCCCGGCTGAGTGGGCCCTCTTCTTGTCAGAGACATCACCCGGGCGAAACCAGCAGAAAAAGGGTGCAGTGGGGCGTGGAAACTCCCTTGGTCAAAGAAGCTTGAGCTTTGCTTCCAGTTGTGACGGGGAGCAGGCAGCGACAGAGTCCCCGGGCGAGGGTGGCGCCCTGCGCAGAGGTGTGGAAGGGCTGCTGTGGCCGCCAGCTCCAGCTCCGGGGTAAATGGCCAGGAAGAGAAAGGGCGTGGGACAAGACTTACTTCCCAGCCTATGCAGAAATGGCTTCTTTTCCAATTCCTGCTCAGGAGGAAACAGGAGACAAAAATAGTGGGGAAGGCCAGGCCAAGGTGAAGTGCGGGGCTGGTCATGATCGGGCGAGCTAGCCACTTGGGGCCCAGCCCAGCAAGCTAATCCAGTCCCAGCCTCCATTCGAGCCCTGGGGGTGCCAGCAGCTCCTCTTCACTTGGGGCTGTGGGGTGACCAACCGTCCCGGTTTGCTTGGGACTAAGGGGACTCGCAGTGCTAAAACCAGGAAAGTTCTGGACATCCCAAAACAAGTAAGTCACCGTAGAGTCTATGACTCTCTGTCTGATCCCTGCTAAGAAAAAGAAGGGTTTGTTGATTCCAAGAGGAAGAGGAAGAGAAAAGGCCCTCAAAAAACACAGATGAGGGCTTCCAGCTGTGTGGTCTGCTCAGGACTCTGGGACAGTGTCTGAGACCTCACTTTCCTGGCCTAGTTCTTGGAGGAGAAACAAGGGGCCAGAGAGTGGAGATGGTAGAAATGAAGGTAGAGGATGGAGAATTGCTTTGGGGAACTTTGGACTGGAAGTATGAACTATGGCTGCACCCCCACCCCTCACCTCCTGCCCTCGGTCCCCTCTCCCGCATCCACACACTGGTAAAGCTAGCTGCCTTTTGGAGAGACTTCTGAAGGTCAAAGAAAAAGAGACATCTGAAGCTTCAAAAGTGAGATGCAAATGCTCACTGAGCCATTTACTGTGTGGCTTTGGGCAAGTCATAAACCTCACAGAGACCTGGCTTCCTACTCTGTCAAAGGAGTCTGTCGTAGCCTTTGTCCCCACTGTTGTGGGGATTAAACAAGACGGCATGTGTGAGGTTGGGAAATGTAGCAGGCACCGTCTAATATTTGTCCCTTCCTGCCAGCCTACATGTGGAGCCAGACAGAGTTCTAACTCTGTTCCTCTGAGAACTAACACTATTATTTGTTTTCCTTTCTTACCCAGGCCCTCACCATGTCTATAACTGAATCCGTTACAGAAAATTTTGAGTACGATGAGTCTGCTGAAGCTTGCTATGTAGGGGACATCGTGGCCTTTGGGAGTGTCTTCCTGTCCATATTCTACCCCCTTGTCTTTGCCTTTGGCCTGGTGGGAAATTTGTTGGTGGTGTTTGCCCTCGTCAACACCCGCAAGACCAAGGGTATCGCTGACATTTACCTGCTGAACCTGGCCTTGTCTGATCTGCTCTTTGTAGCCACTTTGCCCTTCTGGACTCACTATGTGCTAAATGAAGAAGGCTTCCACAATGCCATGTGCGTGCTCACTACCGCCTTCTTCTTCATCGGCTTTTTTGCGGGCATATTCTTCATCACCATCATCAGCTTTGATAGGTACCTGGCCATCGTCCTGGCCACCAACTCCATGAACAACCGGACTATGCAGCACGGTGTCACCATCAGCCTAGGTGTCTGGGCAGCAGCCATTTTGATCGCGGCACCCCAGTTCATGTTCACAAAGCAGAAAGAAAGAGAGTGCCTAGGTGACTACCCTGAGATCCTCAGGGATATCTGGCCTGTGCTCCGCAACGTGGAAGCAAATTTACTTGGCTTCCTGCTCCCCCTGCTCATCATGAGTTATTGCTACTTCAGAATCGTTCAGACACTGTTTTCCTGCAAGAACCACAAGAAAGCTAAAGCCATCAAGCTGATCTTTCTGGTGGTCGTCGTGTTTTTCCTCTTCTGGACACCCTACAACATTATGATTTTCTTGGAAACTCTCAAACTCTATGACTTCTTTCCCAGTTGTAACATGAGGAGAGATCTCAAGTTGGCCCTCCAAGTGACTGAGACGGTGGCATTTAGCCATTGTTGCCTCAATCCCCTTATCTATGCGTTTGCTGGAGAGAAGTTCAGAAGATACCTCTACCACCTATACAGGAAATGCCTGGCTGTCCTGTGTGGTCATTCAGTCCACATCAGTTTCCCCCCATCTGAGTCGCAAAGGAGCAGGCGGGAAAGTGTTCTGAGCAGCAATTTTACTCAGTACACGAGTGATGGAGATGCATCTCTCCTTCTCTGAAGGGATCCCCAAAGCCTTGTCTCTACAGAGAACCCAGAATTCCTGAATCTGACGCTGTTAATGAGGGCAGATTTTCATTGTTGTTTCTTACATGCAAGAAATGAGGGACCCAAAACAACCTTGGAATGTTTTTGAGACTTGGGCTCAAAATTTGAATGAAGGGTAGACATGTCACTTGCGACGAATGTCAGGACTTTTCTGTTTACAAATGATAAAAATTCAACCCAGACTAGCTTTTAGTTGAAAAGAAAGTGGTGAGTACTGTTCACATTGAGGTGTGGGCAAAGGGGTGGCTGAGTCCCCAGAGTGAGTGGAAACCAGGGCTTGAGTCAGGTGCAATTTCCTTTCTCTGACCCTCAAATAATTGAGTAGTGACAGATTGCCCAGAGTCACACAATACAGCTTTATCACCAGAGAGGGACTGACACCCACCCCTCTCTGATCTCAAGGTCAAGGTGCAGTTCTGATAAGACAGAACGAGAGCTGCACACCATCCTTACCTTGTGCCTGACCCCCTCCCCTGATCACACCAGTCAGCACCCACTGCCAGCCTTCTCTTCACCGAACCCCTTCTGTCATGTCCCCAGACCTACAAAGGCTCCCCACTGCCTGCTGCATCGAGTTCAAACTCAAATGCCTGGCCTCTGAGACCCTCCATCACATGGTCCCAGATTCCCCATTGCCTCCCTCTTTCCAAGGACTCCACCCACCCTGTCAGACAGATCTCTTCCATATGACCTCACGCATCTCCACCTACCTGCTCCTGGGCCCAGGAGGAGAAATAGAAAAACACCTAACCCAAAGTGAGAAGGGGTGGATTCCAACCCCAACTCTGTCATTTGCCCACTGGGTAGCTTGGGCCAAATCAAGTTTCAGTTCCCTCATCTGTAGAAGGGGGATAATGGTACTTTTTGCACAGGCAGCATCCTTTCCAACATGAAGAACCAGCCACCAACTTTTGCAGGCCTAACCCTCTTGTCTGGTTCCCAGACTTCAGTTTCCACTCACCTGGCATTTATGCGCCATGCCCAAGTGGTGGTGCTGACAGAGCTTGGAGGTGTCTGCAGGCTTTTCTGCATGACATAGTAGCCCAGACACACAGGAGGCTCGTTCTTACAGTGGCACCCAATGAACACTCCTAGATCTACAGATTGATAGCCTTCTCTGACCCAACCCTCCCAATCACCTGGTGGCAAGCCCCTACCCATCTGGGAAAAAAACATCATTCATGCCACTGCCAAACTGGAGAGCCAGGGCCATGGGAGCAGCTTTCTTTTTTCAGTAAATGTTTAGGATGGTCTAAAACTTTAAAGTTTGAAAAACACTTATAATAATGCTAAAGAAAATGTCATCCATAATCTAACCACACAAATACTTTCATTCCTGCATTCACCCTTCCAGACCTTGTTCACTCTCTCACATGTTTAAAGTTGCAATCATAATGTACAGACAGGTTTGTAATCTGCTTTTTTTTCTATTAACATTATATCCCAAATAGCTCTCTGTTTCTGTGTAGTTTTGTAATTATCATTTTGGAAGCCTCTACCAGATTGTGCACTCTTTGAAGGCGGATGTGGTATCCAATTCATTTCTATATATCACATACCTTCTTGGCAGTCTGTATGTTTGTTTAATGAATGGAAAAATGAATCATATTCCTTCAAGATCATGTACTATAATTTACTCACCATTACTCTGTTGATAAACATTTAACTTGTTTCCCATGTTTAGCAAATACATATTTTACTGCACTTTCATCTGTGTAATTTCCTTTCTCCTGTTGACTTATTTTCTTTGGATAAATTCCTTGCCATGGGGATAATTGGGTCAAAGGGTATGGGAACTTTTTACCTTTTTGTACATACATATAAAATTAGTATATTACAAAACATTTATTGAGCATGTATTGTATACAACATGTGAGCTCAGATCCAGAGCTATTCTAGAGATGGTAAGACCAGACCTCTTCTCTCGGTGATTTAACACTTAAGTGCAGAACAGAGAAGTGAATGAATGAGCATGCTTTGCATTGAGTGGTAGCACAGGGGCGGTGACTTCTGACCCGAGTCTTTAGGGGTAAGGAGTTCTCCAGGCAGAGAAGGGGACGGCATGTGTGAAGGAAGGATGTGTGCAAGAGTACGAGGATCTTAAGATATGAGAAAATTGTGCGTGAGTACTGAAAAGCACTGGAAGTAGATTAGGTGATAAGAACCTTCTGGAGCGAGGGTTGTTAGCCATGCAGGGGGGTGGTTCTCCTCAGGGGGTTCACAAGTTTGCTGCTTTAGGAGGTGATCCTCTATTCCAACTGTGGAATCATGAGACTTTTAATTAAACTTTAACCTATTTCTGGATTCCCAAGAGAGGACATATGTAATTCTTTTGGCTTGAAAATAAAAGTAGGGAAATAAACACTTTCATTTCTAGAAGAAAATTAACTTTGTGTCATAAGAAACCTATATTCATTTATTCATTCATTTGCTGAATAGGACAGAATAAGGAGAAAATAAAGAAGTTCATTGAAAAACCCAGAATGGTGTCTAAATAAGAGAAGGAACATTTGAAAAGGACGGTTGGCCCTCAGATTACAACTGGATCAGACCCACACCTGCTTCTGAGCTCTGGGCTCCCAAAGCAGAGGGAGCCCCAAATGGTGGACTCCAGAGGCAGACCATCAACTAGGTGATCTTGGGAAAGTTACTTAACATCTCTGAGGCTCAGTTTCCTCATCAGAAAAATAAGGATAAAAGTAGTGCCTGCCTTGTATGGTTAGGAGGACTTAGGGAGATTACCTCCACAAAGCTCACAGTGCAGACCTGGCAAAGCAACCTCAAATAAATGGGGGTGACAATTTTTATTCTTCTTCTCATTACTATTAGATTGAGCTTTTCCTGGAGAGGAAACTCATACTATCTTTTCCTTGCCTTTTTGCTTTTCTTAGGCCCAGAATCACAGAACTTTGGGTGGTCAGAGATAATTTGGTCCAAACCCACACTGTGCAGGTAAGGAAAGGCCCAGAAAGGGCCAGAGGCTGGCCCAAGATCCCACGCGAATTACTAAAAGAGGTAGTTCCTTGACTCACAAACACCTTTTTTCTCATCTTGATAAAAATACAGTACAGACCAATCCAGCCTCTAAGAGCAGAGAGTACAGGTGGGGTAATGGAGAAACCCCAGAAAGAAGGTCTGCAGGTGGATGACAAGGTGGGTAGGAGCAGCCACACTGCGGACTGCAGAGTCGAACAGAATCAGTCCTCACACAGGTGTGTGCTGTGTGGTGCAGCCTTAAGCCATAGCTTTTCTGTGACATCAGTATCTCTATGACAGACGGTGTCAACAGAGAGTCATCACAGGATACAGGATTCCCAGAGGCAAGTGCCATCCACGGCCTCCAGCAGAATCTGAGTGGGTGGGCTGAGTCCAACAGCTGTGGCTGCTGTCAAGGGACAGTGCTATCCAAGGGCTGCCCAGTGCTTGGATGAAATGCTGAGTCCCTTTCAAATTAATTCTGCCTACTTCAGGCTTATCCTGTGCTCATTAAATGACAATCTAAGGAAGCGTCTCCTTCCCAGGGACTTTCCACCAAGAAGGATGGAGAATGCATGCTTCTAGTTACTGGGCAGAGCTTTCAACCCTTGTAATCCGTTGCCTCTGGAGTGTATGCAGGGTCTGGTGGTCTTTCTGTTCATCTCTATCTGGCTGCAGTCCTTGAGTTCAGAGAGAGAGTTCATCTCTGGCCTCAGAAAACCAACAACTACACCTGAGTACATGGCAACCTGACTCTGAGAGGTCTACCTTGGGTAGCACCTGGCCCCTAGATGATGTCTCATTAGTACCTTCGAAATTGGGGCAGTCTGTCCCAACTCAGAAGCTAATTTTCTTCACCTGCACCCCATTCACTGGAGTTTCAGTGTGACTCATAGTATAGTTTGTTTAACTTGCTGAGTTGGCAACCACACTTTTGAGCTACCTAAGAGTAGTATGATCTGAGAGCAAGTGAGAGAAGGAGGCCTTAGCAAATTTAGAAGTATCTGGTTTCTCTTCAAGCCACCATCTATCTAACAGGAGGGCCACGTTGCTTTCTGAAGGGTGTGTAGCATCGTGTTTCCATTTCTCTTGTATTAGGGCACGTTGTTAGGCAACAGCAGGAGTTCCTCCAGACACACCCGAGAGATCACTAGCAACCACAAAACATGCCCAGCAGGCAAATTGCTCTTTTACCCCATATTTCCTCATTTATTTTGATAGAAACAAAAAGATTTTGTTTTTCCTTTTTGTCTTTCTTCGTGTCTGGCAACGAACCGCAACCCTCAGTGTCACGCCCGTACCGGACCGGGACCGGCAACGGGATCACAACCCTGGGTGCTGCGCCCGCCCCTTGCTCAGCCAGTGAGCGGGA